TAAGTAGATAAAGCTAATCCAAGTTATTTTCAAGTCTATTTCTCAAATGATGTTAAAAATCTATACAACTTATCTTAAACAAAGAAAAAAATAGGAAGGCTTAACTATTAAATAATACTAATTATGACACTGATTAGATCTATGAATAATTCTTTTGCATGGCAATTTGGATTTATGTATTACATTATGATTAATGTTAACTGAATGTATACGTACACCTTTCAGAGAGCCTACAATGAGAGGAACGATGTGTACCATTTTGTGCGACAAGTTCTGGCATTGCCATTCCTTCCACCAGAACACATTGAGGACACCTTACATCAACTGGATGCGCGAGCTCCACAAGCCCTGGTACCTGTCATGGACTATGTCTACAGGACTTGAATCACCAGCACGGTATTCAAGATTGACTCCTGGAGCATATTCATGACAGCTATCAGGACAAATAATAATGTAGAAGGTTTGCATAACCGCCTTAATAATGCCGTGGCAGTGAGAGGACCAGTGCCCTTTTACAGCCTTATTCAAGAACTCTACAGAGAGTCCAAGGACATTCCCCTGCAACTGAGGCTGGTGACTGAGGGAAAGCTGCAACGTTACCAGAGGAAAAGATCCAGGCATGTCCAGGGGAAAGTTTTCAAATTTTGGAACAAGTACTGTGAAAGAGAGATCAGTGCAAGTCGATTGCTCAAAGGGTGTGCAGCCATCTATGGACCTCCTGTCCAGTGAAAAACCCTTGAGTTGACAGAATTTTTAAGTCTGGGAATGAATAAATATATTTTATTTTATACAGCATTTATAATTGCAGTTGTTTATTTTTGAAGTTGCCAGGATCAACAGTATATAAATAACTCTTCTTCCCTTTCTGGATCGAATGAACTCAAAAGTCGATACTCAAGTAAAAAAAAATTCTCATTCAGATGAAAATTGTTGGATACTTGTGCCATTTTTGCTTTAGAATACAATTTACTAAATTAGGATTAGAACTATATTTTTGTAAGTAATATTGTGTAATAGATGCCTGATTTGAGTAATTAATATATTGACTATTAAAAACTTTTTTTTCAGAAATTCTTATTGTTCTTATTTTTAAACATCGGATGCGGGATGAGTACTATGGTATATTTAATGTTATATGATGAACAATACTAAAATAATACACAGTTACCATTAATTAGGCAACAATCCAATGGTAAAGACATGAAGGGAAAAAACGTGTGTCTGCACTAGCACGAGTATTTGATTACGTTATTTTGATTACCGATCCGATTTCATTTTTGCTAAACATACCTGGTTGAGTATATTTGAGTAGAAAGTTTACATTTCATACAGAATAGCAAATTTTTTTAACTGTTGCAACTGCTTTAGAAGCCAACCTTCTTAAGTGCCGATTTAATTAAGTGCCGATTTAACTAAGTGCCGATTTTACCAAGTGCCGATTTAACTAGCATTCGTATGCCCTCATGTCTACAACCACATTGCACTGGACAAAAGGAAGCTAGTGTTCGTCACTTTCTGTGCACTGATGCTAAATTCACTGATTTTAATTAGTTTATATCGTATTTACTCTTTCGTTCAAACTTGCACTAGTGTTTACGATTGATTCAAACATTGTTCAAGTGTGTGCATCGGCTATCACGAGTCCTATGAGGAACGAGTTATTTTCCAATGATAAAGTGCACCAAAGTGAAGGTGAACTTAAAAATATTCGAACTGCAATGTTCCGTAATTCATGGCCTATAGCGAATGAAATGTAACAAGAAAACTTGAACGCAAGCGTCAAGATTCGGCCGCAAAAGAAATATTCATACCAACTTTCAGAAGTTATATGTATTTATATATATATATACTCTGATATGCACTTCCATGAAATTTGAATCTTCAGATTATACTTGAATGTATAGTATACATGGTATATGATGGTGATTTATGATGGTAGTAAATAAGTTTAACACAACAAATACTTCAGAGAATGCAAAGTTTATTATTAAACAGTAACAAATATTTACCTGAATATTTTTCAAAATAAAAACAATAGAAATAAAAACTGACATAAAATTGTTTATAATTCAATTGCATATGATAAAAAAATAGGAAGGTTTAAAAAATGCCAAGTTGAAATACTGCAGGTTGAAGTGAAAAATGTCTTGACTAGATGAAACAATTTGACTAGAGAAAATATAACGTTTTTTGAAGAGAATATAAAAATATTGCAGATGATATTTAAATATACATTTTACAAACCAGAACAAATATGGTACTTTTTAATAACTCAATTTAGAATGAATAAGAGAAATCTTTTGATAAAGATCTAATTGTTGTAAGTAAAAATAATAAGTAAAAAGTGGAACATTTGTATGAATAGAAAACTTGACTAACATTTCACATTATTTTAATCAGATTTATACCCATTAAATTTTCTTTCAAATTAAAAACCTTCCTTTAAAATAGACAAACAAATACAATAAAAAAAAAAATCTTAAAAAGTTTATTAAAAACTGGATACAAGAAGAAAGTTGACATTATTTAAGTACTGTATATGCAACATTTATGGAAAAAAAACTATGGAATTCACAAAAGATATGTCAAGTAAAAGGGGTACATAACTATTATAATTACAAGTACAGATTTACAAAAGTAAAACACATGTATATTCTACCACATCTAAATTAAATGAAAAAATAAAAGGATGTACATATTATACAAAAAGTATATGGTAATTTAAATTTCACGGAAAAAATTATGCCATTGTTTAAAAGAATATGTTAAAGAAAGTTATTATGCACTTTCTTAAATTAAACAATGCATCACAAGTGAAGACTAAACAAACAATAAATGATATTGGTTTATGTGTTTGAAAAATGAAAGAAAATAGACACAATAATAACGAAGTATATTAAAAAGTTGAGAGATTTAAGTATATTTATAAGCCAAATTTGTTGATGCGTTAGAAATTATACATAAAGTACAAAACAATTTCCTAATTAATGCTGTAAAATTCAGTTATAACAATATTGTAAAATGTATAAAGTAGCAGAGAAGAAAAGTACAACCGCATAGTTTGAAATGGAATAATGAACAAGACTGTGATTAGAATCTAAAAACAAAACCAGAAGTCTCTGTCGAGACTGAAGCTCTACTGGTTTGTACTTATAGCCAAGGAAGAGAAAAGTACTTAAGCAATTGGAAATTGAAACTTTTCAACAGCAATAAATAGAATAATGATTTTGATTAAGTCTCTTTATGTTCTTAGTGTAGTCTACTTGCATGCCACATCATATTTTAATCAGCCTAAAACTGTATTTGGGGTAGCATTTTGAGACTATTTAACAGAAATTTCTATTGTAACCATGGCAACACCATTCATTGAAGTGAAAACTGATATACAGAATTATGTACCTTAGTGTAGTCTACTTGTGTGCCAAGTTATATTGATATAAGACCAAAACTGTTGGAGGTGTAGCATTTTGAAAGAATTTCACAGAAATTTCTATTTTTAGTAACAACAGCAACACCGTTCATCGAAATCAAAAACCGATGTACGGAATTATGTACCTTAGTGTAGTAGTCTACTTGTGTGCCAAGTTATATTGAAATTAGACCAAAACTGTAGGAGAAGTAGCATTTTGAAAGAATTTCACAGAAATTTCTATTTTTAGTACCAACAGCAACACCATTCATCGAAATCAAAAACCGATATACAGAATTATGTATTTTAGTGTAGTCTACCAGTGTGCCAAGTTATATTCAAATCAGACCAAAACTGTAGGAGAAGTAGCATTTTGAAAGAATTTCACAGAAATTTCTATTTTAAGTAACCACGTCAACACCGTTCATCGAAATCAAAAACCGATACACAGAATTATGTACCTTAGTGTAGTCTACTTGTGTGCCAAGTTATACTGAAATTAGACCAAAACTGTAGGAGGAGTAGCATTTTGAAAGAATTTCACAGAAATTTCTATTTTTAGTAACCACGTCAACACCGTTCATCGAAATCAAAAACCGATACACAGAATTATGTATCTTAGTGTAGTCTACTTGTGTGCCAAGTTATATTGAAATTAGACCAAAACTGTAGGAGGAGTAGCATTTTGAAAGAATTTCACAGAAATTTCTATTTTTAGTAACCACGGCAACACCGTTCATCGAAATCAAAAACCGATATACAGAATTATGTATCATAGTGTAGTCTACTTGTGTGCAAAGTTATATTGAAATTAGACCAAAACTGTAGGAGGAGTAGCATTTTGAATGAATTTCACAGAAATTTCTATCTTTAGTAACCACGGCAACACCGTTCATCGAAATCAAAAACCGATACACAGAATTATGTATCTTAGTGTAGTCTACCTGTGTGCCAAGTTATATTGAAATCAGACCAAAACTGTAGGAGGAGTAGCATTTTGAAAAATTGTTTACAGACAGACAGACGGACAGACAGACAGACAGACGGACGGACGACGGACGCATTACTATCGCATAAGCTCTTCTGGTCTCTGACCAGTAGAGCTAAAAATCATACGTTTGAAAAACAATCTCAAAGATTTGCATCTACTACTCAGTGTTTAAATCTTTCACCATTAATTAGAAAATTAAAGGAGACTTACCTGTAAGGTGAACTTTAATTGAAATTCTCCGAAGCACTAAGGAACGTTGGGTATTACGTGAGATATGCAAGCCTACTCCCAGATCAGTATTTAACTCAATATGTGAATATTCTTGATAATATGCAATTTTTACAGATGCTACATTATTATAATTTTATCACCCAAGTTCCCATGGGAGGGAGATCAAGGGTGGGCACGTAATACCCAACGTTCCTTGGTGTTTCGGAGAATTTCAATTAAAGTTCACCTTACAGGTAAGTCTCCTTTAATTTTCTAATTCACCTTCACCACCAAGTCACGTGGGTATCACGTGAGATGTTTAAAGCAAATATTCACATATTGAAAATAGGAATTATACAAAGAAGAAGAATTCCCATAACTGTCAAAAATTTATTGAATATTCATATCATCTAAACTACATGTTGAAGACAAAATTGCAGACTGAAATTTTTTGTCATTATTTAAAACAGTTTTGTCATAAAATTTTGCAAATGTATTCTCATTAGACCATCCAACATGTGATAAGATATTGTCAACTGAAATCCCTGAAGAACGTGCGGCGGCGCTTGCAGCAGCGCGAGTGCTATGTCCAGAAAACTTGCTGGTATCAATGCCAGATTTAGATAACAGAGTTCTTATCCAGCGAGAAATACTGTCCTTCGACGCCTCTCGGAACGGCTTTTGGGTTGTCAAAAGAAGTCTCCTATTTCCATTACCTCTATATTTTTCCGTTTTTGTTATATACACTTTAATACATGTCACAACACAAAGCATCTTATCCGGAAATGCTAAAACTGTAACTGGTTTTATATGATAAGATGGCCTAGATTGTTTTACAAGATTATTTACAAAAAACACAATTCTATCTTCATAAACATGCATATTATCTAAATCTAAAAATGACAAAGTTTGTGCTCTCTGTCCTGTTACTAACGCTAATAGCATGACAAGCTTCAATGTCAAATCAAACACTGATAAAACTTCATTTTCCCCCATACTGCGAATAAACGATAAGACCGTGCTCACATCCCAAGTCTCTGTATACCGCGGTAAATTAGGACGGTCGATAAAGACTCCTCTCATGAAACGTCTAATTAGCGGATCAGAACCAATAGCCACATCATTAACAGGTGGTAATAAACAACTGAGAAAACTCCTGGCAGAATTAATTGTACTATATGAATATCCTTTATCAAAAAGTTCGGTAAGAAAGTCCAAGACAACTGTTATTGAAAAAGTATCAGATACTTGGATAGATTTGCGATTTAGAAATTCTAGCCACTTTTTCATATGCGAATCATACTGTTTTTTAGTTGACGCTCTCCAAGAGTTCATAAGACCCGGAATTGCTTTCTCTGAAATGCCTTTGGATTGATACATTTTCCGGATATGTGACATGCCAGAAGACGCAGCTTTGGGTATAGTTTGTGAACTTCTTGAGGGCGATGAGGTAATACCAATGTGTCCCGGGACTGAGGAAGAATAAGAGGTGCATCGACACACAGTTTCATCAAGAATGGGTACCAACTCGCTGTTGGCCAATCTGGAACAATTATAATTGCAGCTGGTACTTGTTCTTCCACAATCTTTTTCAGAATTCGCTGGATCAAACTAAATGGAGAAAAAATATACACACATGAATACAAATTCCAAGTACACGTAAAAGCATCAGTAGCACTAGCACTCGGATCAGGGTGCCATGATATGTAATTAGTTAACTGATTATTTACTCGAGATGCAAATAAGTCGACAACTGGTCGAGAAAAGATACTGGTTATCTTCAAAAACAAATTTCTGTTTAACATCCATTCCGTGTCATCGCGAATTTTACGGCTTTCCAAATCGGCCACAGCATTTAATGAGCCCTTGATATGGACAGCGGTAAGGAACACATTATAACGATAAGCCAAATGTCTCTTGTTAATTGGTTACAAATCACCGACTGAGTTGATCCAACATGATTTATGCAGGCTACGGCCGTGGAATTATCAATGTGCAGTTTCAAATGCTTATCTCTAATTTCATTCTTGAAGGACTGGAGAGCTAAATAGACAGCAAACAGTTCTAAATAATTAATGTGAGGATAATTTGAGCTGTCAATCTGCGACCACGGTCCCCCAGTCCTTATATCACCCAGAACTGCTCCCCAGCCAACAGTGAGAGAAGCATCAGTAAACATTTCCAGAGAGGGTGATTCTCTTCGAATAGGTGATTCCATACATTCTATGTTTTCATACCACCACTTCAGATCACTAACAGAACTATCAGATATGCACATGACCGCATCAAAATTTCCTTTATTTATTTTTAATGCTTCAATCTTTTCAATTTCGAGGCGCTTGCAATACAAGGATCCTAAGGGACAAGCAAGGACATTAGAATTTAACATGCCTAGCAATTCTGACACTTCTCGAATGGAATTTCTTCGTTCTCTTAAAATCGTATCTATTTTAACTTTGAGCTTCTCTATCCTTTTATGCGGAATCTTGATAGTCATATTTTCTGAACAGATGATAAATCCGAGAAAAGTAACAGTTCTTGCTGGGATCATGACCGATTTTTCCCGGTTGATGACAAAACCTAAGTTTTCTAAGATTTCTACAGTGTCATTTATATTTTCCAAGCACATATCAAAAGACTCAGCTTGTACGGAACAATCATCTATATACATCACTGATTGATGACCTCTTGAACGAAGATCAGACAAAATAGGTTTCAATAGTTTAGTGAAAACACGGGGTGCTGAACTTAATCCCATTGCTAAACAGGTGTATTCCCAAATCTGCCCTTTCCAAATGAACCGCATGAATTTCCTATCTGCGTTGCAAATTGGAACAGTATAATAAGCGTCTTTTAAGTCAGTCGTACCCATATAACAATTTGGGGTAACCATACAGAGTGCATTACTAAAACTTTCCATTTTAAAATGTTTATATACAATAAATTCATTCAGTTCCTTCAAATTTAGAATCATTCTAAATGTTTTGTCAGCTTTAGGAGTAAGAAATACTGTTGAAATAAATTGATCGTTACGGAAAACAGCTTCCCGAATTACACCTTTGTCCTTCAATTTTTGTATTTCACAGTCCAAATAAATTGCCTGTGCACTATTCACAAATGTTTCTCTAACAGAATTTTGTAAAGGCATCGATGAAAATTCTAATTTGTATCCAGACACAATATCTAAGATAACTTTGTCATTAGTTACATGCTTCCAATTTGACAAAAAATGCTGTAATCTACCAGCAATTGGTAAGTCATTGGTGACTTCTGTCAAATGTCCACTAACCTGACTTATTGCCGACGACTGTCTTTGCTCAGGTTCCTTCGGTAGGGGCGGAAGGTTCCGCGAACATTCTTCTCCCCTCCTCTTTTCACTACTGGACTTGAAATTCCCTGATATTCTGATTATTCTCTGAAAATCTCTGATAGACTCTGTACTTTCACTGTAAATCACTGTACTTGGCTCTGTACAACACAGTACATTACAGTACATCACTGTACAGAATCACAGCATTTCCCAGCACCTCCCTGTACTTCACAGTACATTTCCTCTGTACATCACAGTACTCTACAGTACTTCCTAGTACGCAGTCACTGTTTTCCACTGTACGTCACAGATTTTTGCTGTACAGATTACTGTACTTCACAGTACATTACTATTATTCCCTGTACACATATACTGTACATTACAGTACATCACAGTATTTCACAGTATACATAACTGTACATTACTGTACTGCACAGTTTTACACTGTCCTTTTCCCCATTGAGTTTTATTTAATAAAAAGTCTTAATTCCAGTAAACGACTGAATTTTTAATAATTCTGTTATCAAAGTTTTGTTTTGTATTTATATTTTTCATCTTAAGTATTTCCGTGTAAGCATTTTGGAGGTTAAATTTCCAATATCACACCCGTTAAAAGAAAAAAAAAAGCCAAGACAAGAGTTTGATTTAAAATGGCTTCTTTTTTTTTTTAAAAAAAATCTTTAATTAATATTTTTTTCAGATGACTAAATATTTCATTTCTTTATGTTTCCGTGTACAGAGGACCAATATAATAAACCGAAAAATACCCCGTTACCTTTATGTTGAAATTTAATTCTTTTGAGTTTACTTAATTATCTAAATCCGCTGAAAATTTTACTTTCTGCTTTCTTTTGTAAATTAAAAACCAATAGCATTTACCTCTGCTCTAACTCTATTGACTTAAACTTATATAGATACAACTAGTAAACTAATTGTTCAGAGAACAATGAGACGTCTTTCCACCTTTTTAAGTGTTTCAATATCATTTGGGCTGAAAAAAGTAGAAAAAAAAGCAAGAAAATAAATAAAACAGCAAAATTCTCATTTCTCTACTAGGATTTTAGATCGGGCTCGCAGTTGGTATACCCTATATATATACCCTAGACAGACTTCCTGGATTATACGAGTCGACTCGGGGATAACCACGATTTCATTGATCACGCAAAGAGAGCACATAAAAAACATTGTAACACGCTCCTAGGTGTATATATGAGCTTGAATGAGATTGTTTCCAAGTTAAGATGTAAGGGGTAGGGTCTGAGTAAAATTATGATATACCTATTAATATGAATAACATGCATTTGATCTGCGCATCAAGACGGAAGCGTAAGTGAAAACGTTGTGAAATGTCCCATGTGTACCTGCATCATATGTGCATTATACATGTATTAAAGAGATGTTTGAAAACATCCGATTTGAGTTGTTTTATGTTTGAAATGGATGGCGATAAATTATTTAAGAGCATGTGAGAAACATGAGCGAGAGATGCAAGGCAGTTTTGTAATTATGGAAAAGGAAAACAGAGAATCGGGTTCGGATTTTAACATTTCTGACCGAAATAGGCATGAAATTCGTTGTAAGTAGCATGAAAAAAATGCCAAACTTGTAATTCTAGATGGGAAACACAGGGAGGAAACGTGTATTTCTTTCTACTATGCTGAAAGTCGCTATTTCTTGGAATTGTGTTATTCTAGAAAAAAAAATCAAATTTCAAATGAAATCAAGGTTCATTCCATTAATATTAAATCTAAATAAAATTGAAATAAATTCCACATACTAAAGAAAGCTAGAATACTTGGTATTAAAATGTCGTAATAGAGCAGGAGAATCGAATGATATTAACAAAAATTGCAGAAATAGCCAATACGGTTTTTAATTAATTTTTATGCTCAGCAATAACGAAATTTCAGACAGAAAAAAAAATGCAGATTTTGCCGAGTTTCACTAGAATTTCATTATATTTTAAAGACTCACCTTAAAACTCTCAGCACACTTTCTTTAAGGTCTCTTCTTGCTTTTACTCCGAATCTTATATCGATATATCGTATCATTTGACTTGTAGACATTTTCTCTATGCTGCTGTTGATTTTTTTTTTTTAAAAAAGGAGGGGGGGGGGGGATATAAGCATTTGTTAGAGAAAGAGTTGCAAATACCTCAACGACCTTAAGCTTGATATTGACCTTTGGGTCAATAGGGGGTCAAAGGTCAAGGTCATTTATCAAGGTCAAAGGTCAAGGTCATCAAAAGAGAGAGAGAGAGAGAGAGGGGGAGATAAACTTGAGATTAACTCTTGAAGCTGAATCTAGATAAAGGTAATGAATAAATCTTTATTACTTTTTGAGTAAGGGGTGAAAGGTCAAGGTCAAATATCAAGGTCAAAGGTCAAGGTCATTTAAAAAAAAAGGCATACATACAATTTTAACATTTTTCCAATGACCTTGACCTTTGACCTTGACCTAATCTTCAAGGTCAATGGTCAAAAGATCTCATGCAGTTGGGCCCATGTCTTTACAACTTGTCGTTAAGAAGTTTTTAGTTCTTCGTAAACATCATAATCTGGCAGGGGCAATAACTACTTAAAATGGTTTACAAATTCTTTCGCACTAATGGAATGAGAAGTGTACTAAATTAGTCGCAGACATTGTTGAAGGTTTTGTACCTTTCCGGTTTACGGTTTCGGAGGAGTAGCGATAACAAGGGTTTACACTGAAAGGGGCACTAACTTTTAGAGGGTTCGATTTTAGGGGACAAGCATGGAATCTCTAAAATGGTTTTAAGAGTACATACTAAAGATGCAAAGAAGTTTAGAATTTGGTTAAGAACAAAAGAGCTATAAAAAATGCTTAATTTTACATATTTTGAATGATCTTGACCTTTGACCTTGACCTAGATTTTAAGGTCAAAGGTCAATGAATCTTTTGCAGTTGGTCCCATGTCTCTACGCCTTGTCGTTTTAGAAAAGTTCTTGATATTCTTAAACATTGCAAACATTCAGGGGCAATAATTCATTATAGGAGTTTACGAATCCTTTCGCAATGTTTGATTGGAGAGTCTACTAAATCAGTCGTAAACATTAATAAAGTTTTGGAATCTCTGCGGTTTACGGTTTCAGAGAAGTAGCGATAACAAACATTTCTTGCAAAAGGGGCAATAACTTCGAAAGGGGTCAAGGTTCATTTACGCAGGGTCAACTGCAATAATCTTTTACGGAGTACATTCTTATGGACTATAAATCTTTTCGATAAATCTTGAAACAAAAAAACATGCGGCGGAAAAATAATAAAAAAAAAAAGAATAATAAACAGAAGAATATCAATAGGTCTTTCCACAGAAAGGTGGAAAGACCTAATTATGAATGCAGTGATTATGTACTAGATAAATTTCAATCATGTATAGTTATGTATTTTCCTCTTCTTTTTATTTTTTTGTATCTAAACACACAATCACAATCAAATGTAACAAATAAAGTTTTTTCCCTTCTTTCAAGATAATACGGTTTATTCCCATCTCGCCTTAACTGTAAAATTAAGCATTCCCGTTTCGCCTTAGTAAGCTTTTAGGTGAATTAAGGAAAGGAAGATTTAATATATTCAGCATAAAGTATTTTTTGGTATAACATGTATTACTTCATTCGCAGTATTCATAAATTGCCATTAATTATTAAATTAAATTTTAACTAAATATAACATTCAAATTTTTATATCAACCCAGTAATAATATTCACAAATACTAAAATTCCCATTTCGCCTACATGTAAGTAATTTTTTAATGAATAAAATACTAAAGGATCGTTTTGTGATATAATCCTAATTAATCTTACATAATCTGAAAAAAATTAATTTGAGCATCGTATGTACAATTGCTAGGGCATTTATAAATTTTGTATTTTTCACATGAACTGATAATGCACACATATATCTATAAATCTGAATTCTTAATAAATCATGATCTCAAGTTAAAATAAATTGAGTGGTGTCAAACTGCACAAATATTAAGTGTAAAAAAAATGAATTTACAGTTAAAAACGGACTTAGACTAAGTTATGTTCGTAAAAAAGCATTCTTCGTTGAGTCTACCTTAATCAATCTTAAATGATTTAAAATTTTTATTGATATGGTATGACATATATTAATAATTTTTTTTTTCAAGAATTACCTTCAGATTTTAAGTAGCAATCTTTCACTGATGACATTGCGACACTTCCTTCAATTCAAAAACATTCTTCTATTACAAGGAAAATTATAAAAGAGTTGAGTTTAGTTAAATAACAAAATTTTTAAATGAAAAGTGTCAAGAAAGATTATACTAGTACAGTTTAATAATTCTAAAATGTATTTATGAAAGATCCAGCTTAAATTCACTTCGAACAATAAATTGAAATATTTTAACAATTACTTTTTATTTATTTTTTTTATTATAATTACACTTTATTTGAAACACAAGAGAGAAAGAGAGAGAGAGAGAGAGAAAATATTTCCGAATCCACGTGTCACTTCAATGTTGCGTAATATTGCATGTTTGTATATACATGTAGCCGGCGAGTGTCCATGGCGGCAGTGACACCTGTCGTCTCACTGTTCGGGGTACTTCCCGGCGCTGCCGATAGTGTGTACACACTTTTGTTTGTAAACAAGCGATGCTAGATTTACCAATTTCTGAAATCTTTTTAACCTGACAAAAATACTATAGAAAATTTGGTATCAAATAATTGTCACAGACACTGTTAAGATTACATGTACATTACATTCTGACTTTAATTAGCTAAGATAGAAACTACTTTTGACAGAAATTAAAAATATTTTCTAGCAACAGAATAAAAGTCAGTGTTAATGAACGATGATTACTAATATATTTTTCTCTGTTACTCGCGATTACATTTTTTATATTCAAAAATATTTACTCTGTCAGTCTAAATACTAGCTTATAGCACTATCATAGTGCCTTACAAATTTTTACAAGTCCCTTAATATATCTCAGTAAACGTAAAAAAAATCTATTTTAGTTATTTTGTTTTTACGAATCAAACTTCATGCAATCTATCATCAATGAGAAATGTTGATATTTGACATCCCCTCCTTTGATATGATATTTTAAAAAGATAAAAATGAATAAGAAAGAAAATAGAGAAGAAAATCCAATTCCAATCATTGATATTGTCAAAAAATTTCATGCATCTTTAATAATGTCGCGTGATTGCCCCCCGCCCTCACCCCAAAAAAGAAAAACAATCAAGGTTTCCTTGAGTGTTTAAATATACAATTGAACCGTGATCCCCTAAAATCGGTCATGGCACGTTTGAGTATAGTAATGCAGAGATCTGATGGCACGAATCTGATAGCCCCGGGCAATCCACCGGCTTTAATTTGATAAAATATCATTTTTTCTTTTGCATGCAAGATCCTTTGAGAACTTTAAATTCAATTAGTAAATGCTAAAATTACCAATGAATTATAACAAATTTACATTTAAACTGTGAAGCAATGAGGGATCTTTCTCGCTCCCGTGCCATCAGTTCCGTGCCATCAAATCCTTGCAATCGTGCCATGACGAACTACCAATG